CTACGCTCAGTCATATTTAAACCCCGTCGTGGGTAGTAAAGGTCGCATTAAAGCGACGGCATATCGGCCTTATACGAGTCTCAAGACTCGCCAAGCTCAACCCCAAATGGGAGCTCACCATAGGCCAAGGATTAATGGCGTTAAAACCCGAAAAAGACCACTAGAGGATACTTCCATCAGCCAGGCTTTGAGGCGGCGTACTCTGATGAGATTTGGTTGGTTCCATACTCGAGGGGTAATTCTAATCGGGCAAGCACCACGAAGGTGTGAAGTGCTATGTCAGTTGTTGACTACCTGGGTACGCTTCACATCAAAATTGAAAGCCGCGTATCGAGGCATTTGAAGTTGGGGGATCTTTCACGGATTTAAACGAATCGTCGATAGTGATGTGGCAAGACTAAAAGTTTGCCATTACGGGGTATGATTTTGACGATGGGCAGTATTAGGTGGGACATCTCATAGGTAGTCTCTCCGTTACTAAGACAGAACTACCACTATAGTTCTCGATGAAACTAAACTTACTCTGTCAACAGCATTATTGTCATGGCTATGTGATCTCTGTTGCTTGTAAGCGGGCAAATATCGTCAAGGACACACTAAAGGCTGGGGTAATTATGTACCTGGCGACAGGCACACAAATCAACTTCAATCAGCTTACCAAACGACCGGGTGCTTGATTACGGTCATACACATCCCATGGACTCCGATTAGTAGCATGGATCATATTAAGGTGTGAATGTTATAATGTTCTTTCTCGCTTTATCTCAGGTATGACACGAGGACTTTGAAATAGAAAGTGCCATAAAAGGGGTTTGAAGGACGGTTTTCAAAGAAAACCAATGGCACCAATGGCCTTGAGAGAATGATAATACGTAGCGTAGGTAATAATCGAAGGACGCTTTCAAGCAGGAGCGCGTTGACAGTGCAAAACCTACATCGCCAGTTCTATAGGAGCCAAGGGGGGAAAGGGGGGCACCTATTCCTATAGCGAAGAGGGAAGCATCTCAAGGAAATTTACCTCAATTTTTACGAAAGCTCGTAAAGTTTTGCGCTTATGATATTCAAGAATAGAACGAAAATTCCATCAAAGAACTCAAGAACTCGATGCTTAATGTAATGCCAAGCTTAACATAAAAAGTTGTACAATAATCGCATCCCAGGTTCAGGGGGAGAATCGCGCCCTCATCGTGGCTAGATCAGCTTATCAAGAGCTAATGGCAGCTCGTTCAGAGATTCGGAATAGCTTCAGAAGTAGGTAGAAGTGCTATAGGTGTCAATATAGACATCTTCAAGGAAAGCTGCTAGAGAGAGAGTGATATTACACGACAAATCGGTACAGCCAAGAATAGATTGAATTTGCTTCATGATGAAAGTCTTTGAAAAAGGTAGGCTTATGGCGTCAGTCGTGCTTAGGCGTAGAAGTGAGGTTTCTACCAAGGTATTCAGCCTTTACTTGGTTCTTTTAGAAGGAAAACATGTTTCACCCTTCTAGCAATCTGTAGCAAATATTCTTTCAACTTTATATCTCTCCACCCCTAATTGATGCAACTTGTTTAACTTGTATGGTATTGGGTCGTTTAAAGAGATCGAGAATGTATTCGCGAATTCACCGCAATTTGCCTGAGTAACTTAGTTAATGTTTTTATTATGTTAAGGAATTAAGTTTGGTTGGTGATGAAAGTTATCCTTTGGGTTTATGAATAGTGACAGTGACGTCAGTGGATTCACAGTTTTATACTGTGTAAGACGAAAGCGGTGAGTTAAAGACCCGCCCCCACTAGTCACTATTTTCGCTCTTTAATAGGGCAAGAGGTAGTTGCCTAGTTGCCTCAGGCATATTTAGCCCACAATGATTATTATCGCGAAGATTTTACTTGTGAAAGGAGGAAATTTTCGAGGCCCCACCAACAAAGCCCCACCAAGCGACAACCCAAAAAAAGACTGGAACCTAAGGAACTTTTATCGCCCCCGCGAAGATTTCCTCCCACTCTGCCACCGTCATCAATCCCCCTAACATTTCAACAATCCGAAAAAAGTTCGCGGAGGATAATTGAACTTTTTTTCCTTTTTTGTTTCCACAATATATCGAATCGTGAGAAACAATAATATTTCTCCCTTTTTCGATACCTCTCCACTCATTAATTTGAAAATTACGGTCTCATTCATTTGTGATCGTGGACTAGATTCGACAACCCGCCATCGCTATCAATAATAAATCAGCCTAAGCGGGGTAGATCTCTTCACTTTTCATCAATTCCATTCGATCACTTTGATCACTTCCGTCTTCCGTCTTCCGTCATCCGTCATTCATCATCTCCTTTTTTTTCCTCGGTCGGTAATAGACAAAACAAGAGATAAAAAGGCTTCATTCAAGATGGTTTCTGCATCTAAAGAAAAGCGTCTCGCCAAGAAGGCCGCCGATGGTAAAGGCGAGAAGAAGACACTCGTCTCTCGATCCAAGGCTGGATCAAAGGCCGCATCTAAGAATGCTAGCGCTGCTGGCTCCGTCGCCGGCGATGACACCCCTCCCGATCTTGACGATGTTCCCGCGACCGACGACAAGAAGATGGAAAAGGCTAAGGCCATGTCGAACCAGATGGATAAGGATGGATTATCTGACCGTATCACTACCGGTGTCCTATCCTCCGTACCTACTAGCAGGGACGTCAAGATTATCAGTGCCAGCTTAACCTTCCACGGCCGTGTCTTACTTAACGAAACCAACCTCGAACTCTCATTCGGACGTCGATATGGATTGCTTGGTGAGAACGGTTGTGGAAAGAGTACTCTGCTTAAGGCTATTGCTGCGCGAGAGTACCCCATCCCTGATCACGTCGATATCTACCTCCTGAATGAAGGTGCCCCACCCTCCGAACTTGGTGCTTTGGAGTGGGTTCTCAAGGAGGCTGAGAAGGAGATGGATCGTCTAGATAGAATGGCCGAACAGCTTCTTGAGGACGAGGGTCCTGACAGCCCTGTGCTAATGGATATTTATGAGGTATATATATACACCCATCATGTCGCTTTGCTAAACCATGCTAACAAAACTCGATAGCACATGGACAAGATGGATCCCTCGACCTTTGCCACGCGTGCATCCCTTATCCTGACCGGTCTCGGTTTCAACAAGGTCACCATCCACAAGAAAACTAAGGATATGTCTGGTGGTTGGCGTATGCGTGTTGCTCTTGCTAAGGCACTTTTCGTCAAGCCGACCTTGCTACTTCTTGACGACCCAACTGCCCATTTGGATCTCGAAGCCTGCGTGTGGCTCGAGGAGTACATGAAGAAGTGGGAGCGAACACTTATCCTGGTTTCCCACTCGCAGGATTTCCTTAACGGAGTGTGTACCAACATGATCGACATGCGAAAGCAACAGCTCATGTACTATGGTGGTAACTTTGACTCTTACAACAAGACTCGCAAGGAGCAGGAGGTCAACCAGATGACTGCCTACAAGAAACAGCAAGAGGAAATCAAGCACATCAAGGAGTTCATTGCCAGCGCCGGTACCTACGCCAACTTAGTGCGACAGGCCAAGTCCCGACAGAAGATTCTCGACAAGATGATTGCAGACGGCCTCATCGAGGAAGTCAAGGAAGAGCGGGACTTCAGATTCCGATTCACTGACGTCGATAAGCTTCCCCCTCCGGTTCTGTCCTTCGACGATGTCACATTTTCGTACTCGGGAGAGGCCAAGGACGACCTGTACCGCCACATTGATCTCGGCTTCGATATGGATTCTCGAACGGCCCTGGTCGGACCCAATGGTGTCGGAAAGAGTACCCTGTTACGTCTGATGACCCAAAAGATCTCCCCGACTTCCGGTTCTGTTCGCCGCCACACGCATCTTAAGCTTGGCTTGTACTCCCAGCACAGCGCCGAGCAACTTGACTTGACCAAGAGTGCCTTGGACTTCGTCCGTGACAAGTATCGTGACAAGTCACAGGACTACCAGTACTGGCGACAATGCCTTGGCAGATACGGAGTATCTGGTCCTACGCAGACTGCTATAATGGGCACCCTATCTGAGGGTCAAAAGAGTCGAATCGTGTTTGCCCTACTTGCCATTGATTCACCTAACATGCTTCTTCTCGACGAACCTACAAACGGTTTGGATATCCCCACCATCGACGCCTTGGCTGATGCCATCGACAACTTCACTGGTGGTGTGATTGTGGTCTCCCACGACTTCAGGTAAGAACTGTCTTCTATTCGACTTTTTATAAACAGAAACTAACAAGATAACAGATTGCTCGACAAGATTGCCAAGCAGATTCTTGTATGCGAGAACCGAACCATCAAGCCGTGGGAAGGCACGATAGGAGAGTACAAGAACTACCTCCGAAAGAAGATGTTGGCTGCCGGTGCAGTCTAAGATACCCTTCACCTCCCACAACTGGTCTCGAGGGCCGTGCGAACATTGTCGTTCGCAGGCAGTACTATATAATCATAGTACGAAATTCAGGAATCCACACATGCATGGTCACGGCTCGGGGGTCTATAGAATGGACATCGAGGCATGGAGCCGTAGCCCTTGGATTTGAAAAGCTTATGATTTGTAAGCCTCGCTTTGCACACTGCGTAAAACCGGCACCGGCATACGCTGGGTTTCCGCGGACTGGGATAGACTTGTTAGATGAGTTCAGAAAAATGATTAACTATGATTATGAATGGAATATGACCTCGCTATCCCATGAGTGCCTATAAATTCAACTAGAGTTAAAAGGGCCGCCCACTTCCAACTGATTTTTCTAACCGAACTACATCCAAAGATGCTTCATGTGGATCAGCTTGAACTAGACTCATATCCCAATCTTCCTATTACCAAACACCAACCCCTAGTGTAGAGCCTCATACCCACCACATACCCACATCAAACACGCAAACTTTTCCATCCTACTACTCACAACCATACCCGTAGACTCATAGCACAAAATTGCCCATCGTTTCTTTCATCTAATCCTGGCAAAACAACAGCAACAACATGGCGTTAGCAAGGCCGCTTGGCCCAATGGTTAAGGCGTCTGACTACGAATCAGGAGATTCTGGGTTCGACTCCCAGGGTGGCCTCTCTTTTTGTGCGGGTGACGTTTGTTGGTTGACCTGCTTACTTTTTGGTAGACGGGTGTGTTGTGGGACTTCTGTCGGATAAACCACTAGACCAAAAGGAAGGTATTATTTATGCAATCATAATCTTATCTTATATCTGACAGGTTCTGACTGTATACAGGCGGAAACTTGCTAAAAGCTCATTTACTACGCCATCGTCTTTCAGTGTGATTCGAACCTGTGACTTACGGTTTATGGGTGGCCCCCTTCTATGGGTAGTGATCTATCCGGCCTAGCGCAACAACCGGATTTCAAGCGAATGAGACTCTTAATTGTCGGATAAACCACTAGACCAAAAAGAAGGTATTGCTAATGAGAGACGTCACATTTGACGAGAATACCATCTTTAATGGGTCCTTTGACGATCTAAGAGATGATCTTTTGAAGGTAACGAACGCCGATTACGAGGCATGGGTCAAATCCCTTCAAGAGATCATCTCTTAGATCGTATGCCTCGTAATCGGCGTTCGTTACCTTTAAAAGATCATCTCTTAAATCGTTAAAGGACTTATTAAAGATGGTATTCTCGTTAAATATGACGTCGTTTCTCATTAGTAATACCTTCCTTTTGGTCTAGTTAGTGGTTTATCTAACAACTTCTAAGGGCCAGGTGCCTAGATGGGCTAGGTAGGGCTTTAGAACTTTGGGACGACGGGCGATACCTCGACATGAGGGATATCGAGCCGGGTGTTTCTTTCTGCCTTGGTACTTTCCATTATATAGGTGGGCATCTATTAATCCTGGAAATTGGTGTATGTAGGTATGAGAGTGATTCTACGATATTCAGAGAGCTACCAAGACTGCCAAGGGATGAATAGAAGAACATTCATAATTCAATCGTATCCAGTAGGTACTCAGCTTAGGTTAGTAGTAATAAGTCTACCGCCATTGGTTCGATAAGGAGACCGACATGTCACATTCCACGGCAGCTGGGAATAAGCACGAATCCAACAACACCACAGACACAAGTCAAAGCACTTTAATCATCATTACTAACGAACAAACAGCTCAACGCCTCAGCGGGCATGCATGCATTGATCGACTTTGACTCCATGAGGTTCCGTCCCTCTATCGTAATCCTACAGCGATACAAACGGGCCTTTAGTAGTCCACGAGAAATTTTTGTTTTGCGAAAGAAGCAATCCGGTATTTTTGCGAAGTCTAGCCGCCTAGCGCGACACGGTTTTGGTCAACCCCCTTCCACACACACGCGCGTACTTCTCTCTCGTGATCTTCCTCCTTCGCGAAAAATAGAAACGACGATTAACTAGTTCTATGATGTTTGTGTGTTCGTCCCGCCAAGAGCCCGTCTCTGCAAATATGTAATCGATACCCTTATAACGCCGTGATCCTCTTATTTTGTACAAGGTCCTCGACTTCTGTTGCGAGAAGTGCGATTCGAGACCTGATAATAGTCAAGTGACAAGTAATCCTTCCTAGTAGGTTGGTTAAATGTCGATCTCTCCGTCAGCGATGGCGAGTCGCTGCTTCGTGGTCTTGGCCTTCTTGCTGCCTCCCTTTCGCTTCTTCGCAGCTTTGGCGTCTCCGCCCTCGGCGGGGATGGGGGTAGCGGTACCAGAAGGTTTGTTGCCATCATCGAAATGGCCCTCACCTGTGATGTTGTAGTTAGTATGTTTATCTCCGTGACAGTCATGTGTTTCGTATGGTGACTTACCCTCGTGATACATCTCATCCAAGCTGACTGCCTCCCGCTTTCTCTTATTGCCACCTCGCTTCTTGGTTTGCTTATCGAGCTCGCCGCTCTCGAGGAGCTCCTTCTCACGTAGTTCGATGAGCTCGGCTTGCTCGTCGTCGGCGAGCCACATGGCAATATCGCGGTTGCGGTTTTCAGGCGGACGACGACCACTGAAGTCAACGCCACGTGCGCCACCTCCTTGGATAACGACTCGCTGCACTTCCTCTTTCTGCATCGCGCGCTTACGGATACGTTCCTCGATAGTGCCGCGTGTAATAAGACGATAAACCGTAACTTGCTTCGTCTGGCCGAGACGATGCGCACGGTCCATGGCCTGCGAGTCGATGGTAGGGTTCCAATCGCTATCGTAGAAGATAACTGTGTCGGCGGATGTAAGATTGATACCAAGACCACCAGCACGGGTGGAAAGGAGGAAGATGAAGATGTCAGGTCGTGTTTGGAAATCGTGGACAGTGTCGCGACGATCCTCCAGCTTCGTAGAACCATCAAGTCGACAATACTTGTAGTTGCGGTAGGTAAGATATTCCTCCATCAGGTCTATCATCCTCGTCATCTGGAAGTACAACAGAACACGGTGGTTTTCCTCCTTCAGCTTGAATAACAGAGCATCAAGCTTAGCGAGTTTGCCACTATCGGTGACAAAACGACGCATGCTGGGAACGGTGATATTCGTGAACCGTCGCTTTTCGCCGTCCGGCGGAGGAAGCATCGCTGGGGGCGGATAGCGCTCGATCGGAACCTTCTGCAACACCAGGGTCTTCTCCTCTGGGGCGTTAAGTCCATACAAGGTCTTTCGCATTCGTTTGTTGAAGAGCGTGTCTTCGCGCTCGGTGAATGGGGCTCGAGTACCCTCGCAGGAGACGTCGACGGGAGGAGCAGTAGCACCAGGCAGAGCCGCTTGTTCGAGTCGGCTGAGGCCAGAATCCTGCCATGTTGTCCGAGAAACGTTCATGAGACTGTGAAGTACACCTTCGCTTGTGATCTCAGCCAGGGGCTTGCGGTCTGAGCGCGCCGCGATTCGGAACAATGCGTGGGCAGGCGTATAGTTCTCTTCACCCGGTTCATCATATATAACGTTCATCTGACCCAGTCGGTTCGGTTTCTTGACCAGATCTACAGCTCGGGAGAAAATATCTTGGTGGCTCGCCTTGTACACCTCCTCGGGACTAGCATCGGCAAATCGGAGGAAAGAGAATGCCTCGGCGCCAGATGTGCTTTCACGCACGTTCTCCGGCGTCCAGATGTTCATGAGATGGTTCAAATATTTATTTCTGAAGCCAGCCTTCTCGTTGTCTTTCCCAGCCTTGTGTAATCGACCACCTTCGGTCCATATCAGGCGTGGCAGGTGGAAATCGACAAGGTTTCGAGTTGAGTACCCGACGGTGACGTTATTTCCCTCGCGGACAAACGAAGCAGTCTCAGCAAAGTAGCCCGAGAAGTATGGACTCGTGGTATCTGCGCGCTCGAATAGGTCAGGGTGGTTGCACACCTTTCGGAACTGCATGACTAGGTTCATCAGTGTGCCCGAATCTTGATCATCTCCGAGGGTCGCCTTCTCTATCAGATCCATAATGCTGATCTGGTTTCGCAAGTTCCTGTAATAAGCACGCTGTCTGTACGTGAGCTCGCAGAATACATCCTGTTCAATCTTGTCACCGAGCTCCTTCTGCACATGTTTCTTCACACGGCGCAACATGAACGGTTTGAGGATCAAGTGCAGCCGCCTAAGCTGATCCTCGTTAAGGGTCGTGTTACTCTGAGCGTGCGACTCGATATCCTTTGAGAACCATTCGCTGAATTCGTCGTGAGAGTCGAACAGAGAAGGCATGATAAAATGGAGAAGGGCCCAAAGTTCCTGCATGTTATTTTGAATAGGAGTACCAGTCAGGAGCAGTCGGTTACGGCAGTGGAAGCCAAGCAGACACTTCCAACGCGAACTCTGAGAGCTCTTGATAGCTTGCGCCTCGTCTAGGATCATGTACTGCCAACGCATCTTCTGGAAGTAAGCAACGTCAGAGACGACGAGCTGGTAAGATGTGACTAAAACGTGGAAAGGCGCATCCTTTCGGTAAGTGTTATGCTTGCGATCCCAGAACTTTCGTAACACCTTTCGGTCACCGGCGGTACCCCAGTATGGGAGGACCTTGAACTCAGGCACGAACCTTGCGATCTCCTGTTGCCAGTTGTGCAGAGTAGAAGCGGGAGCAACTACCAGATAAGGACCCCAGATATCGTGCACTTCGGCGAGGTAAGCCATAACAGATATAGATTGGACCGTCTTGCCGAGACCCATTTCGTCGGCTAGAATACCGTTGATGCCCTGTTCGTAAAGGTTGGCAAGCCAGTTCAGACCCTTCAACTGGTATTCCTTGAGCTGGCAGTTCAGCAACTTCGGCTGCTCGACTGTCACATCACCAAGACCGGTCGGGTTCTGGAAGTTCATCTCGCCATCTTCGTCCATATCATTGTCGGTCTTGTTGAAGCTTCGTGCCTTTTGTTGGGCCTCCGCGATAGCGTTCTGGGCATTCGCTATGGCGGCTTGCTTCAAGGTTTCCTCATCCTCGGCGTCGAAGTTCAGCTGGCTAAAGTCGGTGACCTTACCAGCAGGCGCGCCCGACGGTTCGTTGATATCCACGTTGTTCGATTTGGACACAGCGTTGGCATCCGGTGCGATATCCGGGTTATCGGTGCTGCGCTCCACCTCGTCCGTCTTGATCTTCTTGCCGATGAAGTGAGAGTACAGTTCGGTCTGCGAGATCAAGAAGTTAAGCTTCCTCTTCTGGCGTGCAGCTTCGCGGTCAGCTTCTTCCTTGCGAGCATTTTCAAGCTCTTGTCGCTCTGCCGCCTTGCGTAGATCACGTTCTTCGCGTTCATTACGTTTCCAGAAGCCCATCATATCGCGCATACAACGCTTAGCACGAGCTTGAAGATCCTTCGTACCCTTGTTAGTACGGAGTTGCCAACGTTTAGCTTCTTTCGAAGCCAGGATAGCAGTCTTCTTAAGATTAGAGGCCTTCGTGGCATAGGAGTCGCTGGCCAACTTGAACGTCTTCGGAACATCCTTGCGGGCGAGGTCACGCCAAATCTGGTCATAAATCTGGTTGTAGCCTTTGGATTGGAACTTGGTCTCGAGAGGATTAAGCGGTGGCTCTTCGACAGACAGCTCTTTCTCCTTCGGCTCTTTCGTAGGAGTATCCCTGGCTTCCTTATCCTTATCCTTAGGATCCTTGGTCGTGGACTTGCT